GGTCTCCTCCCTTGCTCCCATAAATGAACTGGGCAAATCCATGRAAGATCTACCTTAGTGTGTCAGTATGGTTGGGAAGTCACCCTTCTTTTGCTCGTGCCTTTCTTGTAGCAGTACTCCTTTAGTCTTCTCTCACCTACTTTATATAATCTAACTACAGCTGTGTGACTGGACACAGAAATCCCGACACTGCTTTTCCAGTGATTGTACATAGAGTTATTCTATAAAAGATTATTTAAATGGCAGAAGGCCAGGACATCACTTTGGCTATGCATGTCTTTTCACTTGTAAAGAGGACGGTTGCCCTGTTTTAGGGAGCAGTAGTTTCTGTTACTGTCAGTCACATCCCATCACGCAAAACTTTATCAGGCACGTTTTCTCCTTTCCTGTATGTTTGTGAGATGATATTAATTAGAAAGGTTGGATTATTCTTATTCTTTCAACAAATAATTCACACATTTGCCACACGGTGGTGCTAAAGGTAAACCAAACTCTCAAAATCGTTGCGAGCTCTGTGAACAAGAATACCAACTATTACACAAGCAGCTTTCAAGTAAATACATTTCTTTTGAACTTTGGTAAGTGCAATGTGGATATAAAAAAAAATCTTTTGGGGCTATGTACAACATTTTGCCATATCCAAATAAAAGCACAATGTGAATACTAGAGGCAGGGGGTGTTATTGAATAATGCATCTGTTTTGGAGAATTCTTTTGTGTTATAATAAATCTTTATGAAAAGTGTATTTTAACATAATGATTCCGAGTTGAGTAACAGCTATAACAGTAAACAAAATTATCAGTGCTGCTGCTAGGCATTTCCAAAGAAAGTTGTTTCAATAATAATGAATCTTATCACAAACTGTAATTGTTGATCTGCACGTGACCTTCGCCATTACTAAATTTTGACAAAATATAATAGAAGGAAAAATATCTAAATGTGATTCTCCTGCTAATATTTTCTAATTTAGAATCACACTTGTCACAATTCAGTTTAGGTGAGAATTAGTAAAGAAAACTAACTACAGAACAAAAGGAAACTGTTTTCTAAGAAGTACAAASGGGCTTTTCATACAATTCTATTTCTTCTACAATACACTAGTGAATATACATCCAACTTAATTATGTATTTAGTATTTCCTTTCACATTGTGCCATTGGACATCAATGCTGATACGGGATATTAAAAGCAATGCTAACTGTCCATAAAGACAATCTGAAATGTCTTAATAAAACAGGCGTGTTAATGAAGTAAGCACTACCTCAATTTGGTGCCTCAGCACTCACCCTTCACAAAGTACATATACACACATCTACAAATACTGCTCTGACATCTGAAATGTAAGAACTGCCCAACTCGCACTGCTAGCTCTGATAACAGCATTTAAAGTCGTACTCGTTACAGCCCCACTTCCAATAAATAAAGTAATAGCTGACATGTGAATATGTTAATTGCTGTTGCTAGCCGAACAGTCTCAACTCGGGGGGGATTTTAGGGGATTTTGCTGACAGTTACCATGAACTTTCACTTACAGGTTCGGTACTGAAAAAAAACAAAGATATAAGGCAATTAAATAAAGAAGAGCCCTTCCCCGCTTTCCCCAGTCTGGCCCAGCCCCGCTCCGCAGCGGGCGCCAGCGACGCCTAACGGTCGCCAGCCGCGCCCAACCGTTCCCAACGGTTCCCAACCGCCCTTCTCCCCGCCCCGCTCCCGCCACCGCCGCCGGCTTCTCGCTCCTCCCCGGCCGGCAGCGCCTCGCGCCCCGTCGCCAGCGCAGCCGCCTTGGCTCCTTCCCGGCGCCGCCTCCTCCCTTCCCGCCCTGGCGGCTGAGGGGCAGCGGTGCCGCCCCTGGGCGCCCTAAGGCTTTGGCGCGCGGCGGGCGCCGACCGGCCSGAGCCGGCGGGGTAATTGCATGGTGGCATTGCTGGCAAAGAGGCGGTGAAGTCGTTTCGAGGGGCCATCGTGACCTTCGTGGACCATCGTGACCTTCAGCTGGAGCCTGGTTCCTTGAAAGCAGCTCAGTGCTCCCTGAGAAGGCAGCTGAGGGGAAGTGAAGAAGGCAGATGTTCCAGAGGTGGAAAATGGAAGCATTTGCTTACCTGGTCTACGTGTGTCTTCCTACCACTTAGCAAAAGAGTTGTTCCATGCTACCCTGTTGTTCCATGCTAACCTGCCAGTCATCCTGAACATGGAACCCATGGAGACAGACCTCCCAAGAGACAAATGGGAAGCCTTGCAGGAGGACCCTCCAAAGTTGAAAGTTGAAACCCATGAAAATTGACCCACCAGAAGCAAAGCTGAAGTTCAGAAACCCTGCTGTGCTGGGGACTGCMTGCCTGCACCCATGGCACTGTCATCCTAGGAGAAGCAGGGTCTCTCGCGGCCATTGATCTGGGCTTAGCAACATGAAATTGTTTCAGATCTGTTTGAGAAGATAAAGATGAGCAGGGGTGTGCAGAAGACATCCCACAGGCAGAAAAGGAAGCCAAGAGCTTCCATGGGCTAACAGAGAAAAGAGATGTTCAGTCTGGAATTTGTGAAAGCCTGGCTTACCAGTAAACACTGGGAGTGTAGGAAGGCATTCAACATCTCATCCTCACACAGTTATTGCCACCTTCTGCTGAGTGTGCTGAGAACATCATGCAGGTTGCACAGGCCTGAAAGGAGCGTCTCCCACAGACAGCCCAGGCTGTGTGTCTACCCTGTGAGCCTTGCCGGGGAAGCCGTCCAGTAACAAATGAATCATGTGGTGCACTTTGGGACTGAAAGAATGGGTATCAGGAGAAAAGACCTCCAGGACGAAGTCATCGTCATCAGAGATTCTTCAGGGTCACCCTAGAAGGATCAGGAGAAACCTCTCAGGGTGACCGCCCCAAATGATCTGCCTCAACTCAGGGAGATAGAATCASTGCTATCCAGTGTAGTTGGGCTTGTAGGTGGCCCACCTGCAGCAAAGATGGCCCTCAGGAGCACCATTGTGCCTGGGATGGCCTGCTGATAGCCAAGACAGCAAAGTCATCTGAGAAGAGCTGGGGCCTCTCAGAGTTGTTAAGCAGGTCCCAGCCACTGGTCCCCTGCTAGAACACACAAAAGAAGGGGGAATGTATAGAAAACACACCTCACAGACAGGAAACGGCCAGGACAGCCTCCATGGGCCAATCAATAAAAGAACTGAACTGAACTAAAGGGGACAGGAAGGTAAACAGTAGTCACAGGTACATCAGTAGCCCCATTATCAGGGTGTTCATTAGGCAAGACTAATAACATTCTGGCCTCACCTGCAAAACCTTAGGGGTGATGGTTTCTCGCACTGGCCCTTGCTAATCTCACAGAACCAGCTGCCTGCTCCTTTTGGGGTGGTCTCGCAGAATCTTTTCTGGCAATGATTTTGTCCCAAAATTCTTTTCTTACTCTTTTTTTCCTAGGCTGGCCATTGCACAAGGTCCCACCACAGTACCCTCAGATGAAGAACACTTTGGGCTCAGTACTGGTGTCTGTGGTTGTTTGGCCCATAATATGTTTTAATAAATAAGTTAACCAAAGATTTGCTTGCTGTTCAGGTGAAAGGCACATCAGAGCAGCTTAATGTTTTATTACAAGGACAGCACCCTGGGGACTCTTTTATCTACTTACTGTTCTCAGAGCAGGGAGAGCCATCAGCAGAACCACCCAAAACAGCCCCTGCCAGAGGCTGGTCTCTGGGTTATCAGGGAGCTTGGAGCAGGCCTGTGTCCAACAGCCGCCTTTATCACCAGCTTAACTGGGTATTGGGGACAAGCAGGAGCCGTTGGGTTCGGCTGGTGTGAGCTGCACGCAGTCTGATAAGACTCTTGTTAATCCCACACCARTAACTCCTAATGAAAACTGCTCCACCTAAGAGCACGTTACTTAGGCAACATCTTGCAAAGAGAAGAGACCTTTGGGAACCTTCAAGCCTTGAAGACATGTGTCTCAGTATCAACAATATTAATGCATCACTTACCAGGATCTGCCTAATATTAAATCCCAGGACAGGAACATGCTGTGATAATAGAAAAGCAGATCCCCGCAATCCAGCTCCAGCTGCCCTGCGCCTCACAGCAGAAAATGAAGTCCTGGCCACAATTTCTGACCCTCTACTGAGATCAGGCTACCTCAGTAGCAGAAAAGGGCTGGGCAAGAGACTTGGTCTCTCCTGAGCGTGCTTAAAAGGCCCCGTCCTAAAAGTTGCTATCCCAGTAACTGGTAATTCAATAGCTGGTATTGAGATTCAGATTCTGAGTCTTGACTCACAACAGGCAGACAAAGGAAGCTGTGAAAGAGGCAAGATTCCCCTCCTCATTGCTTCGCCTGCTAAGAAAAGCAATTTAGATTGTACTAGCACAGCCTTTATACATTATGGCTCAGAGCAAAAGAGAATTTGCAGTGCATTAGATCTGAATTCAGCCAACAGTCACTTTCCTTGGGTAACATCCTTTGCTTTCTTAAGTTTCTTCCCCCCCACACCTCTTTTTTTTTTCTTTTGACATTAACACTGAAGACATGACAGTTCATTTTGACAACCATAGTTTTTAATAGCAATATATAATACTCTTCTCACATAAATATATTTTATATACACAAGAATATTCACAACACTCAAACTTATATATTCCAAAGCTGCAGTTGTTTTTGAACTGAGAGAAGGAAAAAAAAAAAAAAAAAAAGCTTCATTGGCCACAGGAAGAATGCCAACAAGTTTCTAAAATATAAATAAATAATCAGTCTGTTTCTCTTGTGTCCTTGGGGTTCACTTAAATACTGACTGCCTCGATAGGTTAAATGGTTGTGTTCTGCCATCACAGCTGCATGGGCAAAGAAGGCTAAAACAGCAGTGCACATTCACTCCTACAATACAGCCAGCAGCTTGGGTCACTAATATACCTGACTGCACCCTGTCACACAGAAAGCATCACTCTTCCCAACCCGCCATCCCTGTAATCCTGTATTCCAAACTAGGCTATTTTTGTAATTGAACAGGGCTGGGAAAATGTAGGTGAGTGATCCAGCACCAGTCTCTGAAACTTTACTGGTTTTATGTTGATTCCARTTGTACGAAGGCTATTTGTGGTTAATGAGAAGCATGTGATCTCAAGAACAATGTGACTAATCTTCAAGTTCACACATTTACCTTTCTTAACTTGCTATAGCTTTTGAGAAGTAAAGCCAACGGATCACTTTAGAGACAGTGTTTTCGTGGAGAGCAAAGAGGAAGAAGGGTAAGSAGTAGAGCTTAAAAATAGTCTTGTGCCTGTGTATGTTCATACAACTTTCAGAATACCTCCAAGCAGAACGTCAGGCTTTTCTCCAACATATAGGAGACCTGACAAAAGAAATACTGAAGAAAAAACAAACTTGCACTGCAGAACTCATTCTCCCAACACAAACATGGGAAGGATTTTGGATTTGCAGTACTAAGGTTTCCGTGAAACAGAGCAGCTCAGACTCTCTATTTCTTAAACTCCAAGAAGCYCAGACTAAGTCGCAAGTCAAAGGCATTACTTTTTCACACTGCTGCAACAAGGAAGAGCTTTCATCTTCCAAAAAGCAAGGGAGGATGGCAGGGGAARCTGGGGATGCAGAGAGAGAAGGAAAAGTTTTTCTCAAGAAGAAATCTAACAAAACCCAGTACAATTTAAGACCTTTTGGCATGTCTGTATATATCCTCTAATTCTTTGTTACTTGACCTGGTAAGCGTATAGGGCCTAAAAGCTCCTGAGGCATTACTGCATTTCAGGCTTCTGATGCATTGYTAAATGAGGAACTACAACATTGATGAAGCCTCTTGCAGGACACCTTCCACATCCCTGGACACGTCCATAGCCCACGATGAGAAACAGATCAGCTTCGCACAACAGATTCAAAAAGCCCCAAATGAATTCAGCCTTCGAGGATAATACTTTGGTTTGATCCCATGCCGTTGACACCTTACTCTGCCAGGGCTGCTAAACTTTATTCTCCCACTCTGAGCTTGTAGTGTTTGGGGCAATAAACAGCAGTTTCCACTGCTGATCACCCTTCAGGTTACCAGGAGCTGGAGGGACAGCAAAAGAAAAAAAAAAAAAAGGAAAAGTTCTTCATATCTAGGCTACAGCAAATGATCTGTCCCCATGTCTGATGGTCAGAAGCAGCACAGGGAACCTGGTGACTTGTTAGCCACAGCCTGATTCTGACTGAAATGATCTGATGTAGTGCTCTGTTCTTAATACAAATGCACACAGGAGCCTCCTGCCCCTCTGAGAGATTCCCGTGCTGTGTAGTGCCCGTCCTCCACCACGGGTGGGAGAAGGCTGACAAGAGGCAGCACCTTCCAAGCTTCTGGCCGGCCCCTTGGACTCTTCCCTCCATTTAGCTTTCTGACAGTCCTGATGCCTTCTTGGGACTGAACTCTGGTTCAACCTGTGCCCTCCCTAAATCTCATGTTCAAGAGGCTGTCAGGGCAAGCAGTGATTATGCACATTACACTTAAAACTTAAAAACCAGTAGGTAATACTAGTTGCCTGTATAGCTAGAGTATGTCACGTCTTCGTATTTAGAGATTTCTGCTCTTGTTCTCAAGTAAATTTTCATACCCATAGATACTTGAGAAAGTGAGAACTGGTGATACGTTGTCTGCAAGGCACATGATGGAATAGGTTGCAGACTTCCACATCCACCTTTGCAGCTGCAAGAGCCCCAACTCAGCCAGGCAGCACGGAGGCACAAGTGAAGAAGGGAACACGCTGCCCCTGACCTTGGAAAGCCCACACTCTCAGGTCTGTGCAGCAACGCAGCAATGAGGAAAAGGCACAGCTGAGGCAAAGAGTAGGTTTGACTCCCAGTGTAGCAGCAGGAACCCTGAAATCTGAACAGACTACCTTCAAAGAGAGAAGGGTCATCTAGGAAACTGGCCAGGGTTTGTGTGGTGCCCAGAGCTGAAATTCCCTACTGAACCCTCAGAGACCTTAAAACTTTGGAGAAAGTTTACAGAAAAGGAGAGCCTTCTCTTGCCAAAACCAAGGATATTCCTCATGCAGTGAACAACAGCTTCTCAGTGGAATCTGAAGTGCCAATATCTGGTTCCGTTATACATTTACACATTATGATCCTAAAAACAACATGTAAGGAGCAGCTTCCACTGACAGTGGAGACTGGGGATCAGCAAATGGAAGATACGAAGTAGGTAAGAATGCAGTAGAACTGAATAAATAAAATATAATCTGGAATATTCCTGAAACAGGCCATCAGGAAGAATGTTTTGCAGGAAATTAATACAACTTTGGTAGCAATTAACTCTCTCTCCTTCAACTTTAAAGTCCCTCATGTTTCTTAACTCATGTGCAAGCACTGCTGTAGAGGCAGAAGCASTCCTGAAGAGTGTTAAGATGCTCATTTAGGTAAAAACAAGTATAACAAGGAGATTGCAGTTTCCTTCTCTGCTCAAGCATAGCAAGCGACTACACAGACCGTATTCCCAGCTTGCTTTTAGCGTTTTGTTTCTTTTCCACTTACCCCTGTAATGCAGGCATTAAGAGATCAGGCCAGTCTCCTAACATCCTCTGCAACATTTCCCCGTGAGAACAAATTCTATGAGGAAGGAGGATCTACATCAGATGGTGAATCAACATGGCCTTAAYGGCCATAGCAGTAAGGAACAGACTGGCAGTTCTGCAGTCAGTTTTCGCTGTTTTCTCCTCTAACACTTCTGCTGAGAAATTTGTCGTTGCATAAAGGTAGTGAGCACAAGCTATTTGAACAGGGAGCTCATCTAGTTCCCAGGCTGAGGAAATCCTGCCCTTTCCCATGGTAGCCTCGGCAAGTGCAGTCCTTCTGGAATGCATTACTCAAATGATGTGGCAATCCAGTCCGTCTTTCCTCTACTTGCCAAAAGGCCCAATCCCCATCTCAAAAGGGATTTATTCTTCCTGTCTGGAAGAAACACCATTCATCCGTGGAACTGGGAACTTCGCAGTGCCAGTTGATCACAGCAAGCAGGAAAAGGAGTGAGGCTGGTCATTTCTACTGCAACTCAATCAAGATTTCAAGCCCATCTTTTCCATCATCTGCTCATACACGGTCCATGCCATGGCTGCCATCAGCGTGCGCCGTAAGGCCCGGGGCACGCCGCCTCGGAAGAAGCCGACCAACCCAAAGTCCTGCAATGGGACATAAGCAAGCAGCAGTCCATCAGCACGTGCCTTCAACACTTCAAATCCTCATCCTTTATGGCACAGAACAGCTATTTCAGCCTAGACCCAGCACATTCTGGCACAATCAGCATTAACTCTTAATCCTAAAGGTTTAACCTTTAGCACTGTGCAATTGCTATTCATTCCAAGAGGAAGAGTGAGTGGAGGAGGATCTAGCAGGTTAACAATGTACAGGGAAAGCTTCACTCAAGCCCAATAAAAGGAGATGAGATTCACCTCACCTTGTAGATGAAGGCGATGGCGTGCACCGTTCTGTGGTACTTTTGTGGGTACAATTGCATGTGTGTTTTGATGACATCAGCGGGCTGCGTTGAGAGCGAGGCCAAGATTCCCGCAAAGATCCCACAGCCAAAATTCAGCAGGGGCATCAGTGCTGGATCCAGCTGATCTGCCAGAGAGCAAAGGAAATTCACTCGGACACAGAGCAGGTTTGTAATACCCTGCTGCACAACAAGGTGGAGAGCCATCAAATGACCAAATTGCCAGCAGAGTTTGAGAGGAGGTAAAAATCTAGGCAGGGCAGAGAAGACTTTTCTGGAGGAAAAGTGACTACAAGTTAAAAGTTAGCACTGTTACCAAGACTGACTACCAAAGAACGAAATTTGACTGGAATTCAGCAAAAGATTGTATGAGTCTTGCCACAGCCAGTTCTACTAAATCTAACATCAAAGAAAGYACATTTTAGTGGAAAATACCCAGCATACAAGACAATCATCAGCAGACAGCACCGCTGAACACAACCTTTCTCTCAGCCTACCTTATGCATCAGACCACCCATGAAAGGAAACAACAGAGCGATTTACATCTGTGGTCTGACCCAAGGCTAGAGTGTGGCACAGGTAAAAGGCCAATATCCCCCCCTAAAACCCTGCAAAGGACTAATTTACCTACTGAATTACAGGACCGTAAGCACAGAATGCAGAGAGCTTACTGCAGAACAACTTTTTCCACCATCTCACTTGCTGTTGATCCTTACCCTGAGAGGTGAGCTTTTTGGTCTGYGTGTAGAACATCAGGTAGATGCCAGAGAAAGGAGCATCCCGCAGCAGGGTGGCTGTGAGCCCACTGAACATACCACGAGCCCCCTCCGTTTGGTAGATATTCTTCAGAGCTCCATATACACTCTCATAGCCAAATCTCCCACTCTGCAAAGGTAAAAGACATCGATAGGTCAGGCCAACAAGTCCTCTACACACCCTGAGACCACTGAGTCCGAATAGCCATTCGTATGCACTCCATGTGATGGCTGAGATGGCGATATAAAAGACGTCCCAAGAGCACAAATGGGTTCCAATGCACCTTGGCCTTTAAAAGAGTCCTTCAACAAGGTAAAATATGAAAGATGGTATAATCAGACAGGCATCGTGTAAAACTGAAACTTCAAAATGGTGAATTTTTAAATTCAAAATGGTGAATTTTATCCCATCTTATACTTCTTGCCTACTGATCAGTGGCATGGCATGACACTTTCTGTACAATGTGTGAACCAGGATGAAGCCAGAACTGCAATCTCTACTGTACTTCAGCGCCTGGAATTTGCAGTCTTGCTGGAGCACAAGGTGAACTTTCAGCAGGCCTTAGAATGTACCTGCTTTTTCAGTGGAACTTTTCCCTTGCTCTGTTCACTACCTCGGGAAAATCCTTAGCACTGACTGGTTCTCCAGGATGACTCAACTTGCTACCTCCATCATGTTCTTTCCCAGGAAAAGCAGTTCTCATTCTCAGTGAGGGAGACTTCTTTGCCCACTAAATTATTACCAAGTTGAAACACACTCTGTTACCAGACAGTAACAACAAAAAACACTGCAAATCTAAGGCTGCAGCCTAGATTTGTATGCTTTTGTAGGCTCAGCTGTGCTGGGAGGATACTATACTTAAAGAACAAAAAGCAGGATCTTTTGCCAAGAGAGCAGCCCAATTTCTGCAACATTTGATCACACATCAGTACAGATAATCACAGATATTCTTGATTCGCCATACTTTTTTTTTTCTGGACATGAAAAAAATATCTTTCATAATGGGAAGGTGTGCAACATCATTAACAGGCAGCTAATTAGAAAGCTCTTAAAGTCACCCTCACCTCATACCGGGTCTTCACCACGGTCACTGGCAGCATGCAGATCCCAGACACCGCGCGGGAAGTGGCCCCCAGAAAAACAGACTCCAGGGCTGTGGGCGAACGGTCCACGAGAAGCTTCTGCTTCATGGTGTACAAAGTACTGAAGTAGATCCCCACTCCAGGAATGCATCTTGCGAAAGACTTAAGAAGCAGAAGAAGAGAGAAAAATCACTCATGAGAGAAAACGTACTACAGAGCTTTACAGAGACTGCTAGACTTGACGTGAAGCTTTGTATGAGGAAAAAAGAAAAAAGAGCAGTCAAGTTTATTAATAAACAAAGGAAGGAAATCAAGATTAAAAAAATACCCCACAGAGTAGCCAGTGGGTTGAAACAACGCCAGAGTTTAATACATTCTTCACCTCTAGTTTTCCAGCAACAGCATCTTCCAGATAAAAATGAGGTTGGTGCAGATCTGCAAAGGTATTCAAATGCGCCACTGCTCAGCCTTGCAAATCCACAGTGAACACTTATGCTCAATTCAGTGGAACTGATTAAAACGGAATTTGGCCTCCTTAATCACATGGTCTCATTTGCAATTTTACGAGAGTTGCCCATTTAAATCCAGTCCACAGTTAGTAATAAAGAGTAGATGTATTTGTGCATTTACACAGGGTTGAAACAGCCACTCACCGGAGAGACACCTTTCCAGAGTCCCAGGAGACTCTCCGTACGAACCACCCTTAAGAGCAGCGTTACCATCCCCACACGACTGGACCTGAAAGGCACATGAGAAACAAGGACTACAGAGGTGACCTATTTCTGCCCCCTGGCAGGGACACTTTAGGCCCACCTTCCACAGGGTTGTCTGCATTAGCCACAGCAGCTCAGAGGTTCCTGGTTAGATGGCAATTGCACAAGATATTTCAGACCACAGTGGACCCCCAGTTAAACTGCCTGGCCCCTACTCYAGGAAACGTAGAGCTCTCAGGGAAGTACCAGCAGATGCTGTGCCTGCATCTTGTAGAGCTCATGAGAACTATCGGGGCAAAATACTGAATCTTCTCCACGCSATAAAAACATATCTGTGCTTCAGAAAGACTCTCTACATGTGAATGACACCCCTGAACTCTAAGCTCTGGCCAGGAATCCAGGAAGAGGCCCAAGACGGAGCAGTGCCCATGGAGCCCTCTCCCTCACCCATGCCCGGCAGGCTGCGCTGTCTGCAGGCGGGTTTTCAGCAGGTCCAGGGGCTGGAACAGGAGAGTGGAGCAAGTGCCACTGATGGAACCACACACAAAGGCCTTCAGGACTGGATGCATCTGGAAGACAAGGGAAAAGGCTTTAAGGAAAAGGCGCATAAAAGGAAATAAACTACCTGACAGGCCACATATCCCAGGAAAAGCACAAAATACAGACCCAAACACTGAATACAGTAGCTCATATAGGAAACCACGTCATAGATCTTTATAGAAATTGACAAGTTTTGTTTGGAGTTCTTGTTCCCTTTGGGAAATCTCCCTCCTGGGAAGCTATTCCATAATCCCCTTGTATTTTAACGTTTGSAAAGTCTTCTGAGTGTCAAATGCATTAGCAGCCCTTTTGTAACCATTTGTTTTCCTGTCAATACCATTCTCMCATGCATTAGAGGGAATCCTTTCCTACCATCCCACCAACTGCCTGTGCTGTAGCCCCTATTCATTCTGCTTCTGTTCTGCACTCTGCACGTTCGTCTCCCAAGTTTTCCCCTGCCCGATCCACAAACCAAGGCCTCCCAACTACCACAGAAACAAGCAAGACTCTCCCTTAAAACCTGACTTTTCAGACCGAAAGATGTGTTCCACCCAAACAACAGCTCTAGCATACTCAGAGATCTGTATCTCTTATCCACATGTCCTGTTATCTMCCACTATTCCTTGGATGGTAAGCTGGAAAACAGATTTATTGTGAATACAATCATCTAACRTGACCCTAATGAATAATAATGTTTCTATGCTCCTAAGGCAGAGCCGCATCAGAGAACATTTTGGCAACGTGACGTTTTCCAGAGGGCAACATCCCAAAGCCTGACAGCCGGGGTTCCTGTCAGGATGAACCTTTGGGCCTGAGCTGCACCTTCCTGTTCTCTAATGTCAACCCTTAAACTTCTCACGACTATCAGGACACGTTACAGCCCTTTAGCAGCGCTCCCGAAGGCTCCACACAGCCGGGCCGCAGCCACGGGGACCCGGGCGCCTTCCCAACGTGTCCATGGCTGCGCAGCACCGCGCTGGCGGCCACGGCC